TTTTTTTCACTTAATTGTTTATAACTTTTGTAATTTTTATCGGCGCGTTTTCGGACCTTTCCTTGAACGAATGAAGGCAAAAATACGAATCGAATGACACCTTGGTATTAATTTTTGGACAGGGCTGAAAAATGTCACCAAAAAGAGCTAAATCGAGTACATGTGAACCAGACTATTATTCTCATTTTCAAGGCTATGACCTACAAAATGGGTCGAAATTTCGAAATTTTTATTGAAAAAGTGGGTACCCCATTCGATTTCGGCATATTTCGAACATCTAGATTCCAACTTTCAGCCCAATATATCATACAGTGCGTTAGTTATATGATGACAAATTCCCAAATTCAAGATTTTTTGTCTGACCCTGTATAGCAAACTGTACACTTCAAAGGAAAGGTGAAGTAGTAGCACATTAAATATTCAAACAGGTACAGTTTTTTGCTAGGGAGTTGAGACTGACTTGAACGAATTGTTCCTTTAGATGATTTGATATATTTTTCAAACAGGTAACAAGTGTATTTCAAATAGCTCTGTGGAAATTGATCGTACTTGGTTGCCATTGCTAAGACGAGAGTTTGAGGACGGTAATACCTCAAGTGAATTCTCAAAATACATTCCAGTGTATGTATTCATGCAGACCATCACTTATGACATCTGGACGTTACATTCGTATGACGTATGCTATTTACGATCAAAGCGAAAGTTTTCAAGACAACTTTTGAGTTTTGGAAACGGAAAAAGATTATTTTCTAGTCTACCACTAAAAAAAGCTGAGTTTAGAAATTTTATTTATTTTTTTCAATCGACCATTCAATTTGCAGGCAAAAATTTTTAATACATGCTACTGAATAATTGGACAGATTCTTCATTGATTCAGCTTTGTTTATTTTTCAGATTGTGGAAGGATATATACCTAAAAAACAGTAAGAAAACGGACTTTTCCTATTTTTGATTACTTTAACGACTTTGATTCACTAATCACGATTTCAACAGAGTACCGGTATGGTGATATATTTTCGTGAACCATTATTAAACAAAGTTGATTCATACACTTTTTAGGTTCAGCGCAAATTTGAGATCAAAACTTGATATTTTTTTTAGCTATCACTCAAGCGTTCCTCAATGCGGAAACAAAAACAACTTGTTCCACTGTTACATCCTGCGAGCACTGTCCAATGGTCTGGTTTCATAAACTCTGCGTTGAGGTTGAGACTATGTCCGATAGGAAAACACAGGCCGCCATTTTGAGAAGGTAACTATGAACCATTTTCGATAAATCTTGTCAATAATTATTGCTTTCATTTTATTTTATTTGTTTTCATTTTATTTATTCTTAATTTTCCTTTCTACCTAGTGATCCAATGTAACTATAACTCCCAGAATCACACAACGAGTAGGAAAGACTACTTTAATGTCTTTTTTGTTCATTCTATTGTCGCTTATTGAGCTCCTTGTAATAATTTCAACAGTTACTTATGTTAAATTTATTTTTGTAAATAATATATGCTACCCTGAGTAAGTGAGCATACTTAAAGACTGGCTAAAGAAACAATTCATTTAGGCCAGTCTTCCCTCATCTACACAGTAGGTTCATAGACCGACAGCTATCAAAAAACAACCACTACCCTGGCTAATACCACGAAGGGCGTTGGCTTGTATCCGACAGGTATCAGTGCAGAATTCTTCACCGAAAAAATTTCTGCATGAGCTGTTGCCGATACAATTGCCGGAATCGACTTTCAATTATTGGAACAGCCACACTTGCATGCCAGTTTCGTGCTATTTGGACTCTCGTCAGTGCAAGGTTGTGTCCTACATCAACACGAAGTCGCTGATTTCCCATAATTTGAAATCAAATTCTTTCAGAGTAACATACCTCGAACACAGCTGAAGCGAACGACAAACAACATATCTGTCATCGCATTCTCTGCCCGTAGACGAACTACTAACCAACCACATACCCTTATTATGGAAAATTATCGACGGCATTTGCAGGAATTTTTTCAGTGAAGAAACCTGCACTGACACCTGTAGGATATAATCCAACGCCCTTCGTGATATTAATCAGGGGAGTAGTTTTTTCTGATAGGTTCCTTTAGATGATTTAATATTCATTCAATGAATAAATTCCATCATTATTATTTTTTCCGAAATGGTTGTGCTGGTCGGGTCCTGTTCGCAAAGTCCAGGATAATAGCCTTCGACATTTTGCTGGTCAAGATTTCTGACAATAATAATTTCGATATTTCAGCCTGAGAGTTGGAATGAATAGTTTCAATAAATTCGGCATTCCTCATTTCTCACAATGGTAATAGCTGAACCAGCTATTACCATTGTGAGCAGCTGCTATAACAGCTGCCATCCTGGCAGGCTGTTATAGCAGAGGAGCCCACGATGCGAAATGGGGACTTACTCGAGCGTCATAGAGTCAGTCCTATTAGGTTGCAAAGCTTAGATGATAAGATATACCTTTTCAGCGGTGGGGGAAGCTGCTATAGATTATTAAATATGTAAAAAAAAAACTCTTGCATGGTCATACTCGAGCGCGTCAGCTATTGATACCATCAATGTCCTACGTATTTTTGATAATGTTGGTATGTTAATCTGATTGTTTGCACGATATGGGTGGTTGTACGTAAGGGTTAAAAATGAAAAAAAATTAATTGAGCGCGTCAGATTTTCTAAGGGGGTGTTAAGTGCATCAAAAAAAAGCTCTCATTCAATAATCTGACGATTTCAATCTGACACAAACTCGCGGCCATTATTATAATGTGCAAAAAAAATCGTCATTTTGAAATACTCAAGCGCGTTAGATTAAGATATATATGGTTCATCTTTATGTTTTACACGTGCTATCTCATAATCTGACGATTATCTAGAGGGATTCGCCTAATCTGACAAAAAAATATTAACAATTTTTTTTCAATTGAATAATTAATGAATAAAAGAGAAATGAAACTTTCTATGTTTTTCACCAGTTTTATTTGTAACTAACGTTACTGCAGTTACTTATACAATATAACACAATCAACACCATTTCAAATATCTATGTCTCACTCTTATCGAGCAGTGCAAACGATTGATATATTAAATTAAACAGAACTGGTTGAAAGCTAAATAATCTTGAACTGTGTCTTTGTATTGTATTATAGTGTTTGTTTTTTCATTTTATTTTATTTTGAGTATAATAAAAAATTATAATAGCTGTACATGTTTGATTACATTTACGATTGAATATGTTCGTAGTCGAATACCTTTATATGTTATTCATTGTATGTTTTTGTTTAACTATTTCGATGTATGTATGTATATGCACATTCACACCAAATTTGTATCTCGAAACAAGAATTCACTAACTTATCGAGCATCTCGTTATTTATTTAAACTTTCAATTCCAATCATCTTCATCTTCATCAGGAACGAGTCACTGTGATAGCTGTGATGGCGTCATGGAAACAAAATTCAGAGTGGGGACGGAGTGAGAGAGTAATAGATAGAGAAAAAGTGAAAAAGGAATAGAAACGCGGAGAGGGAAATATAGGCATCACGCAGCTGCACGCATTAAACTTTCTCGACAAATTGTTGCTATTTCGGCTTGCGGAAATCGTCAGATTATTTATTTTTCGATATTCTTGAATTATTTCCTTCAAAATAAAAAAAAATTAGCTACGCTCGAGAATGTTGACATGACGTTTTTTTTTCACAACTTTGCTGCCCTTCCCTTTCTTTACGTCACTCTCAAATTGTCAGATTACTGGAATATACACTTTTTAGCATGTAATTAACTCACCCTACCTTAATCTGACGCGCTCGAGAATTTCTGATGATCAATATTTGGGATCATATTTGGTGGAGGTACTTAACCGAGTACAAGGTATCCATTGAATCCACAGATTCAGTGTCAAAATTAAACTAGTTTCACAAGGCTCTCGAGTAGCTGCCTAGAAAGGAAATACTTCAATTGTTACTCTCTTATGATTGTAAACCATTCATAGAAGTGTACTTGAATTCCTGATAACTCAGCAGACTCCATCCAGGACCATTCTGTCATCTAGATACTCAAAACTGAAAAATCCTTCCTGTTACCAGGAAAATAAATCTATGGAACAGACAATATGAATTGCAAACTCTCATAGAGATGCATCATTTGTGAAAAGTTAGTATTTAAGTACTTAAATTATAACTACTGAAGAGAAGCATAATCTTTCGTATCATAGTAGAGTAGGATCGAAACATCAAGCATATTCATAGCAGCAACTTTTTTCCCCAACATTTCTGATGGATAAATCTGTCAGAGTTTATACTGATACTTGCTGCTAAGAGGTTTCCATTAGTGAGTGATGTTTTTTCACTCAGAGGTTAGGTATACATCTGTGCGGAATCCAGAAGGTGTCTATGATGCCACCGTCATAATCCTCGATCATCCTCTTTTGAGACCTCAATGAACCGTTGCACATTCCACCACCCTTGAGAACTGAAAATCCCAAATATTGGTGACCTTATGCCTCCGGTTTCCAGGAAGCATAGTCGTAGAATTCTTCAGAGTGCAACGGGTAATGTCAATTGTATGATTCAGAAAACGGGGCAAAGGATCATCACTGATGATGGTGGGACGATACTGTTGCAGTGGAAGACAAAAGCCAAAACGATCGACTGAAGATTTGTTTTGTCTTTGATGTTCTTTCGAAACAGCGCTATCTGGTGACGAATCATGACTACTTTGTTTTTAGGCTATGACTTTAATAGTTGAAGTTACTTGTGGGCTCATACTTTTACTAATTTTTTCAGATATCAGTGATTTATGCGAATGTTTGAATTTCAATTCCGAAATCAATATGCATTTGGAATTATACCTTGAGTAATACATGACTTACATACAATCTTTAGAGTCCGATATTGAAATTACAGGATAGAACAACTTGATGATGATGAACAAACAACGATTCTGACGAAATTCAGAGGAGCTGAAACAGATTCTGTGAGAGAACAAAACGAGTTCCTCATGATGTTGCTCAGAGCACACTGTGAAATGAAACAAGGAAGGCACGTTCACGACACTGCCGAAAACCGGTCTGAATTCCTGAATCAATATCTAGGAGGAGGCACCATTTTCACCAAAGCGAAGAGATCTTTGAGCAACTCCTTTGAACACTTTTTGAAAAGGAAAGGATCCAGAGATGACTTTGGTGGTTCATTGAAAGGCCTGAATCTTCCAATAAATAGTAACTTCAACAAAGTAAGTAAGAAAGTTTAGAAAACAATATATTCAAGAATTCGGGTAATTCAACTAATGATGAATTAAAATTGAATAATTACCCGTTACTTTTTCAAATATGGAAACTGGAACATAAGCTCTGCTAATTGTCTCTCGAAATAAGCAGATATCTATAATATATTCGGGTAATTTAACTAATGATGAATTAAAATTGAATAATTACCAGTTACTTTTTCAAATATGGAAACTGGAACATAAGCTCTGCTAATTGTCTCTCGAAATAAGCAGATATCTATAGTAACAATATTGACTTTGTATGATTTGTCTCATTTGCAGGACTGCCTCTCTCATTCTCCATCCCCGAGCACGAACAATGATACCTCTGATCGAGAATCAGAAGGTACCAGATCCAGATCCTCCACAATTGGTTCACAAAATGACCTCAGAGATACACACCTCAGCGTTAGGGATAATAATCATAAAGATTCTTACTCTCCTGAACGAGTTTTCGGTTCTGAGAAGGCGCCAAAATCTCCTATGATGGACATGTGAGTGATTCCTTCATTTCATTTATTTCTATATTTCGAAAACTTGTTTGTTTGCAGCTTCATGAAAGTTGGAAATAGTCCAAAGAATACAATATCAGAAGACGGGTGTCCGAATAAGGTGGATTCGGGATCTTGGAGACAAGCAATATTCAAAAGAGTTGTAACGCCCAATAAACTTGATAGAATAGAACAACCCGGGAAACAAAGGACTAAAGAAGAATTGAGAGTACTCTGGAAGAAGTCCATTCACCAAGCAATTTTACTCATCAGGATGGAAAAGGAAAACGCTAGAATACGAGGTTATTGGTTATATTTATCAAAACATTTTCTATTGGTTTAACGATCTAGATTTTTGAGTACATCGAATGAAATAATTTAATTGACTCCCAAACAAAACTTCACATCAATTATAATGTATTATTGTATGAATTTAACTACTACCGGTTCAGGCGTGTTAACTGTAAAGAAGAAGCCATTGTATAACGAAACACAAGTTGCATTTTTGTAAAACTGTTCAGTAGAAATCTCACAAAAAAAATGTTTTTTTGATACGTTAGTTATGGATTTCCATCAAGTATCAGCCAATTCCATCATATAAGTAACTTTCAGTTACAAATTGGATGAAAAAGAGCTCTCTAAACAAATACTTTCATATGAATATTGAGTTATATATACCAAAAACACTTCCTTGTTCAGTTTGTACTCCAAAAATTCGTCATGGAATTGAATCAGATATTATCGACAGGATTGCTACACAATATAATTTATGAAAGAGGTGGAATTTCACTTACATGGAAATCTATCATCTTCAATGGCGGTTAGGTTAGATTGGGTCCAAAGTGAGTGGGTCTATTCGACCCTCCACCGCAACCCGCAAGGGTTTATTGTGACTCACACCTATTCACACTCGACCAAATACAGCTTCCCAACGAAGCCGATTAGTTTGAATGGTGAGTGGTTTCTCAGGTCAGATGGTACGAGTACGGCTCTGCCGAACTCTAAAAACCTGATTCGGTCCCCAGCGGGGCAGGTACAATGTATATGCTCTGCTATTTCATCGTTAATGAGGTAGTCGGATAGTCAAGGTGCAAGATTCCCACCTTAATATCCGCGACAACCTTCTCATATGAGGGTTTTTGCATGTCAGCTACACCTGACGATGCCTCAAGGAGGCCCTAGACGGTCAATCATTTTGATCAAAAGCTTGAGTCAATCGATTGACTCAAGCGTGATTGACCGTGTAGGAACCTGTTTCACGATTAAAGCGACGCTTGATGGTGATTGATAGAAAGTTTGAATGACTCAAGCGGTTGAAGGAGAGGGTTGACCNCAAGTTTCGTTTAATTAAGTTCAGTATTTCAAAAGTTATTTGAAAAAAACGAAAATAAAAATAAAACTTCAACATCCTGTATCTTGGAAACGAAGCGTTTCCGGACATTCACTTATTTGGACAATTCATATCAGAATATTGTGAGGAGTCACCTCGTGAAGTTTGTCAAAGTACTTTTGAATCACCCTGTATATTTCTCATTTTGAAATATGCCAATTATTTATTACTTTTCTCATCCTTTTCATTAATTTCTTCTCCTTCCTTGCACTGATACAGGTTTTCGTCGGACTGAATTTTACTTCTATGTTAGTGTTTTTATATGCTAGTAGACTAACTACTAACTGTTAGTAGTACTTAACTACTACCGGTTCGGGCGTGTTAACTGTAAAGAAGAAGCCATTGTATAGCGAAACACAAGTTGCATTTTTGTAAAACTGTGAAGTGAGCTTCCCGAAAACTCTGAGCGGGAATTCATTAACCTGTTGATTGAATTATATTGGGATTGTCCGGAATTATGGAAAGTGAAGAGCAAGGACTATAACAACAGAAACAAGAAAACTGCATCATCACCATGTACCACTCAAACTGAGTAGAGAAAAGTATCTTCTGTATAATTTAGTGTTCATAGAGAAGTATTTGTTTCGAAAGAATTTTTTTTTTCGTGTAATTCAATGTTTATATGAAAGTAGCTGTTTCAGGAGGACTTTCTTGCAGTTTGTGTCTGAAAGTTACTTCTTTGCATGATCTACACATCCGTGAATATGTTAATGAAATTTTACCTCTTTGATATACTATATTGCCTAGCAATCCGGTGAATGACATCTGAATAAATTCCATAACAAATGTTTGGATTATGAACTGAATGAAAAAACTGTTTTTTGTATGATTCAATGTTCATAGGAAACTAGTTGTTTTGAAAGTATTTTTTCTTTCGTGTAATTCAATATTATATGAAAGTAACTGTTTTGAGGGGGCTTTTTTTTCCAGTTTGTCTCCGAAAGTTACTTATTTGCATGATCTACACATCTTTGTACAAAGTTTATAGTTCAATTAATTGTTTTCTTCCTTGCTTTTAAAGATGTCCAGATTTTTTATAAAGTAGTTTCTTGGGAATGAATAAATATGTATTTATTCATTCTGCATTTCCATTCATGAACTTTCGTTGAAATGTCTTATTATTCCAGCTAAACAAGAAGAATCTGCAGTTAAACGAATAAAATTAGAATATGATGAGATGAAACCAAATCAAAGGGAGGTTATAGAGGTGTGGGAAATGATCACTACTAAAGACAGCAATAGAATAAAGTGCGACAATCAAATGTTACTCCATGCAATTCGACAGGGAGTTCCACGTAGCAAAAGAGGTGACGTCTGGCAATTTTTGGCAGATCAATTCTGTTCTAGAGTACCACCCATTGATACAATCAACTATCCGAATTATGCAGTACCTTATGAGACTTTGCTCAAACAGCTAACCTCACATCAACATGCTATTTTAATCGATCTTGGTGAGTAAGAGGTTAGAACTGTAAAATATTCTTCCTTAATAATTCAAAAATTTTACAGGCCGTACTTTTCCCAATCACTCATACTTCAGTAGTCCACTAGGACCTGGTCAACTAGCATTATTCAATGTCCTGAAAGCATACTCATTGCTAGATCCCGAAGTAGGATATTGCCAAGGCTTGAGTTTTGTAGCGGGTGTTTTGCTGTTACATGTAAGTTTGAAATTTTGATTTGAAAGCTACTGCTTACCAATTCATATTTGTTCCTTCAGATAATTAGTTTTTCCGTTTGAAACTTATACAGGGTGTTCCTTGAACACATGCTAATATTTAAGGAGGTAACTCTTAGACCCATTTTAAGAAAAAAACTTCCTATGGACGTATGTCCTAAACGCCTTAACTTTTGAGATACAGGGTGGCAAAGTTTTCAAAAATAATCACCTTTTTTAATATAACTGAGATAATTTTGTAGACATCTTTGGCATATTTGGTACATATGTTCCATGCCTCAAGGCGCATTTTCTGATGTACACAAATTTGTATTTTTTCAAACAGTGGCATCCCTACGGGTTTCGCATTGAATATTTTTGGGGAAAAAGTACTACGCCAATGCTTTCTTTTCAAAATAAAATCATTTTTAAAATCCTCATTTATTTTTGAGAAAATTTGATCTCCTGGTATTTCTTTGTCCGACGCATGATTTTCACTCAAAAAAATAAAAATCGACAGAAAGCAAATTAAGAAATTAGATCAATTCTAAAATGAATGAGAATCTGAAAATTGCTTCA